GCTGGGTCTGGTTCTCTCATGCATGGCGTGTCTGTGTGTTGTGCTCCGAGTCTCCTCTTTCTCTTTTGTACTGAGGGCTCTGTGGCAGTGATGGCCTTGTTAATGTTCTTTAATAACACTAATATTGATTGATTCAGGGACTCAGCCATTCATTGTAGAACTGTTTTGGGACTTATAAAAACACCTGTAAACATCTGTAAAATTGCAAAAAAATTTGCAACTTTTTAATTTAATTTTATTTCATGAGAATCTACTCAAAACGACCTACCTACAACCTCCCTACATGCTGCCGACGTTAAGATGCACAGTATATTAGTAAATAGCTGATACAAGAAAAATGAACACACTTCGGTGGTATATGCCGCTTTTCACTAGTAAAGAAAATATTTCCTTGCATCTTTGCACATAAAGTGTGTAATATGTAGAAAAAACAAACACACAAAAATGCAGCATTCAGTCCCCAGTCATCCAGACCTAGACTTACACTATATGGCCAAAAGTATGTGGACACCCCTCCTGGTTATTGAGTTCAGGTGTTTCAGCCACACCCATTGCTAACAGGTGGGTAAAATTAAGCTCATAGCCCTGCAGTCTCCATAGACAAACACTGGCAGTAGAGGGTCGAACTGATGCTCAGTGACTTTAGGATGCCACAAGTTGATTAGGAAATTTCAGGCCTGCTAGATCTGACCTAGACAACTGTAAGTGTTATTATAATGAAATGGAAACAACAACAGCTCAGCCACGAGGAGCATCAGCACAAGAACTGAGCAACGGGAGCTTCATGAAATGGGTTTCCATGTACACAAGCCTATTGATGGGTTCAGGGACACTGGCTGGGCCTGTAAAGCTTCATTGTAGAACTGTTTTGGGAAATATCATCACCCACATTTGTTTAATTGACCTGTAAGGTGTGCAGTTGCTACTTTTTTATTTAATATGAGGATTTACAGATCAACAAAACATGCAGCAATTCAGTAGCATTGATTGGCATGTCCATGAACAAAATCATACATCATATAAACTGCTTATCCTTCTGGGTCGCGGTGGGGTGCTGGAGTCTATCCCAGCTGTCATTGGGCGGAAGGCAGGATACACCCTGGACAGGTCACCAGTCCATCGCAGGGCAGACAGACAGACAGACACACACACTCACACCTAGGGGCAATTCAGCATGTCCAATCAGCCTGACTGCATGTTTTTGGACTGTGGGAGGAAACCGGAGAACCCGGAGGAAACCCACGCAGACATGGGGAGAACAGGCAAACTCCACACAGAAATGACCCTGGTCGCCCGGCCGGGAATCGAACCCAGGCCATTCTTGCTGTGAGGCAACAGCGCTACCCACTGTGCCATCGTGCCGCCCTTGAACAAAATTATTCAACACAAAAACCGAAAGAAAAGTGAAAACAGTTTGTAACAGTGAATTAAAAATGCAAAGTGGTCAAAATAGAGATGTTTTTATAATAACGCTGTTCTTAACCTCTTATTCTCCAGGGTATATTTTGGTTTTTCCATCTGAATTTAAGTGACCAAATCGTAAGGCAAATTATTCGGTTACTGCATGAAATAACTGTAAATTTTTATTTTATTTATTTTTTGTAAAAGCTCCCCTCAAATTAACAGAACATGTGTTTTATGATACACATACTGCTATATGCTTACAATTTACTGTTGAAAGCCAAAAATCTTAGACACTCTTTGTATTATTTTATAATAATAATGTTTACAGAGCAGATCACTGAAGAGACGCCATCTGTTTATAGTTTATAGCCCAGATTTGTGGAAAAATGGGTCGACTTTCAGCAGAAAAGAAAAATTGTAAGTTCAGCTTCTTTTATTATAACTCTTTAAAATAAAAACCCCCATCTATTTGACTGGAAAGAAGACAGTTACAGCTCTCATACGACCCCCACGTTTTGAATGTAGCTTATGAAATATGAAAGTTATGAAGAATATGACGAAGTGCGTTTTGGAACCACCGGTGGTTCCAAGGAATTGAAAAGGTTAAAATTCTCTGCACGTTTTCTCTCTCTCTCTCTCTCTCTCTCTCTCTCTCTCTCTCTCTCTCTCTCTCTCTCTCTCTCTCCATACCTGCCCTCTCTTCTACACCTCTCTAATGTCCTGATATCACACAAACATTTCATCTGTTGTTTTTAAGAGCCAAATAGTCATTAAGTAATACTTTTTGTGCCAAAACCAAACCAAAAAACCCAACACGAGCTACACAAACTATCAGGTGATTTTTTTTGTTTTGTTTTTTCCATATTCAGCATCAGGCTTGGGTCAGGCTACTTTTGAAATGAGTGATTTTGTTTGTATCCTGCCTTCCGCCCAATGACAGCTGGGATAGGCTCCAAGCACCCCACCGCGGCCCAGAAGGATAAGCGGTTTAGATAATGTATGTATGTATGTATGTATGTATGTATGATTTTGTTTATGTTCACTGTAAAAATTAACTTTAATCTTAAGGTGTCCTTTAAGCTGCCTTATAATTTTTTATTTATTTTACTCTAAATAATGAGAAACATCATTATGTTTACTTATTATTTGATGTCCAATGAACTTGAAAAGTTAAAACAGCCAGTTTCCTTACTTTCATAAGTTAGTCTTTTCTAAATCAAAACTTCCAGGTATCAAAATCATTTTTATGCATCAAATCGATCAGCAATACCGTGATGCAATACATCGTTAGAAAGCTTAAAATCCCAGGATTTGATTCCCACAATCTATTTTATGATCTGTTATTCACAGAAGTTGTTGTTTCATTTGCAGCATCAGCACCAAGCGAGCAAACGCTAACAAATCTGTCAGATACGGGTCGTGCTGTGGCTCAGCTGTGTCTGCAAAGTGAAGTGAGCTAGTGAACTTGGAGGAATAGGCTGACCTAGAGGAATATTGCCCAGTTTAGAGATCCATGAGTCAGGAGGAAATAAACTCCTCCATTCTAGATTCTGTTATTGTGTGTCAGTAATCCAGACAATTATTCTGACTGCGGGGAATAACTTGAGCATGTTACTTGTCAAAGGAGATAAGGAGTTAGAGGAGTGGGTGAATGTGCCCCTGAATGAAGCTGTGGATGATGAGAATGATGTGTTATGGAGTCCGGGTGAAGCCCAGGCCAGGCCATGCCCCTAGATTCATCCACACACTGTTTCACACAGCATGTTTAGTTGCCTTAGGGCCCCATTTTCTATCATAATTCCTCATTGCTAATGTAATCAGACTGTCTGGTGCTCACAGTTCATCTGCAGCTGCTTGCTAGTGTACATTTCTATTTTTTTTTGGTTGCACATCTCACAGCAGGACAGTTTTGACTCTAGAGCTCAATCACGTCTGTGTCTATCATCATAGTCACACCTGAAAGGCTCCAGGTGAGCCGAAGACTCCACGCCCTCCGGCATTCCCCCTCAAGTTTGAACTGCCTGTTTGTAAAATGCAGCAGCCTGTGTGGAGCTCCTTCACTAACAGAAGCAGACTTTGTCAGTTACAGTAACACCTTGACCTCCTCATAGAAGCGTAATACCTTTAATTATTCTTGACATATTTGGTAAGACTTTTTTCTGAGTGTCCTTTTTACATGAAATGAACACTCAACAGACTCTTAACAGACTCTCTGACATTAACGACTTGTTGCATGATGCAGCAGCAGTGAACACGTTCAGTAGATCATCAAGAGACTTTTAATTAACTTCATAAAAAATGTGTAAAATCTGCTGAGTTCATTTTTACTTTATATTGGAGTCCAAGTTCAGATCTGTAGATGTTTAAATGAGAGGAACTGAACATTAACAGGTCTAAATCAGACCATCAACATCCTCAACAACCTGGAGCTTTACTGGATTTGGGTTTAGTTAAGATAAGGGTCAGGAATAGGGCTAGGGTGAGGGTTGGAGTTAGGTTTTGGGTCGAGGTTAAGGTTAGGTTTAGGATTAGGGACAGGGTTAGGGTTAGGTTTTGGGTAAGGTTGGGTAAGATTACGCTTTGGGTTTGTTTAGGTATTGGGTAAGGTTGGGTTTTGGGAAAAGTTAGGTAAGGTTGGGCTTTGGGTAGGGTTGGGTTTTGGGTAAGGTTAGGCTTTGGGTAGGGTTGGGTTTTGGGTAAGGTTAGGTAAGGTTGGGCTTTGGGTAGGGTTGGGTTTTGGGTAAAACTGGGTAAGATTGGGTTTGGGGTTAGGTTAGGCTATGGGTAAGGTTGGGTTTTGGGTAAGGTTAGGTAAGGTTAGGCTTTGGGTAGGGTTGGGTTTTGGGTAAGGTTAAGCTTTGGGTAAGGTTGGGCTTTGGGTAAGGTTGGGTTTTGGGTAAAACTGGGTAAGGTTGGGTTTTGGGTAAAACTGGGTAAGGTTGGGTTTTGGGTAAAGTTGGGTAAGGTTAGGTTTTGGGTGAGGTTGGGTTTTGGGTAAGGTTTGGGTAAGGTTGGGCTTTGGGTAAGGTTGGGTTTTGGGTAAGGCTGGGTTTGGGGTAAGGTTAGGCTTTGGGTTAGGTTAGGCTTTGGGTAAGGTTGGGTTTTGGGTAAAACTGGGTAAGGTTGGGTTTTGGGTAAGGTTAGGCTTTGGGTAAGGTTAGGCTTTGGGTAAGGTTAGGCTTTGGGTGAGGTTGGGTTTTGGATAAGGTTGGGTTTTGGGTAAAGTTGGGTAAGGTTAGGCTTTGGGTGAGGTTGGGTTTTGGGTAAGGTTTGGGTAAGGTTGGGTTTTGGGTAAAACTGGCTAAGGTTGGGTTTTGGGTAAAGTTAGGTAAGGTTAGGCTTTGGGTGAGGTTGGGTTTTGGATAAGGTTGGGTTTTGGGTGAAACCCCTTCATATTCAGTCTATTCTCAACTGATATGAAACATATGAGTATCATGTTATATGTAGAGCCTTTAAAGGAGGTTTTAGGAGGATATGCACAAATTGAGAAAATGAGACTCCAGAGGGTTCATCATATCCATAACTATTGGAAGATCATAAGCAATCAAGAGCTGCACAATAATAATATACCTTGTTTTTATCATTTGTGTCCTCAGACTTGTACACGTTCGCCTTAGCGGAGTCAGCTCCGGTGGGCACGACGGTGGGCAGAGTGATGGCAGAGGACGACGACATTGGGGTGAACGCCAGAATGAATTACAGTCTAGACGACCTGGAGGAGAGCGCCACCTTCAGGGTCCAAACAGACCCTGTCACTCAAGAGGGCATAGTGACGCTGGCCAAAGTGAGCACATTTACTATTACAGTCTAATTAAAATTATTTTAATAAAACCAGTGGAAAAGGAAACGCTCTACAATGAAGCATCATATATTTGAACTTTCCAGATTCAAATGAGTGTTGGCAGCTGCTCAATTCAGAACGTTCTGTAAATGATTTAATAAAAAAAGCCTGTCAGAACAGCAATCAGTCTCGATCTCTGTCCATGTTACAGTATTTTTCAAATTGGCTTGGAATGAATCCACAGCGCAGTCAAAGGCAAATGCAGATTGTTGTCTTGACATGCGGGCTTGTTATTAAACCAGGGAATTTTACACATTTGGTCATTTATTCCATAAAAATTTGATCTTTTTCTGCTCTTTTAGACGGCCATTTTCCACCAAGCGCAGTTACCCAGTGTGAGGCTCTATTGTTGTGTCCTAAGTTTGATGGGATCAGCTCCCATGGTGGGGCTGATATTGAGCAGACAGTGCCCTTCACACCCGTAGTTTTATGTGTCCTGCTTAGCCGCTCGTGTCTGCTAGGGAATGCTGGGGGGAATTGAATGGAGATGGAAGCGCCTTGTTATGGAAACGACTGGCTTGCCCTGCGTTCCTTTTGGGAATACATTAATGGTTTGCATGCTGTTTTTAACTAGCATCATCGTGTCTGTCAAAATTCAACATCGGTTAAGTACTAGCGCACAGCTGGCGGCTCATCAAGTTTGAATGAACCATTTTCTCATCAGACTGAATCCGGAGGAAAATGCACCACAGCTTGCGCTTGTTTATTTATTTATTCTCCCTTCTTCTTCTTCTTCTTCTTCTTCTTGCCTTCTTCTCTTCTTCTTTTTGCATCCCACTCTTGGTCTGGATCTGTAAACAATTACAAAGCTAATTTAGAAGAAGAGGGTGGTCTCTCATCAAAATTATCCATCAAAAGTTTGAACACTTAATGCCCAACAAAGTTTTGACCAGTAGAAGGTAATATAATAACTCTTGTTACATCTGTTGTGAGCTGTTTACTCACCTCTTATGTCTCTATAGTGGCGTTTTCCACTGTAACGACTAGGAAACCCCCTTATTATGATGGATCTTCAAGGTAGAAGGGAAAACTTCAACTCCTGCAGGGTCATTTTTTGGGCAGGCTGTGTTTTTTTTTATAAACTGTTGAATTGCAAAGGAAAGCAGACAGCTATTGTTATTGCTAAGAAGGCGAATATCGTATTATGGTCGTATAACTGTCTTCAAATCACCATATAAAAGCTAAAGTTAGCAAGACAGCTACATGGCTATCTAGATACCCCAGGTTAGCTTCTTTTCCCTGGCTGAAAGGGTAAAAATGGTCTCTGAGGTGCTAAATAAAGATTCATTGTATTCTTCACAATTTTGTTTGACAGCTGAGGTAGGAGTTACACTACACAGCAAAAAACAAGATCCTGGCAAGTGAAATGGTCTTAAACTTCTCTTAAATGTAGTCGATATATTTGCTATTTTTCATTTGAGGTTGTTGGAAGCCAATTATAAGATTATTTAACTTATTTTCAGATACTTTTATTTGTTTGAAGTGATTTTATCAAGTCAAATTAACTATGTTGACAGATGATTCAGTGTAGAAATGTGCTCGAAACAAGTAAAATTATCTGCCCACATAGTAATTTGTTTGCTGAAATCACTTAAGACAAGTAAAAAGTTCTAGAAATAAGTTACATAATCTTATAATAAACATATAACAGTCTCAAAATTAGAAATATCAGATATATGGACTAGATTTAAGATATTTTCAAATGTCAAGGTATCATTGTTTGCTGTATAAAGCTAGTTTGATTGTATTTATCAGCCTATAGATCAGTGGCTAGGCTAGCTGTCAAGATTGGATGACACCACAGGGATTCCTAAAGGTTGTATGATGCATTTGTGTGATGTATCCGGGGTATTGTGTGAGAGTTAATTAGGTAGAACATGATTTTTACAGAGATCTGTAAAGCTTCTATGAAAGAAAACTTCTGGAGAGGTCAGTTCTCATTTTTGAGATGGCCAACCTTTGTCTTAGTAACAGCTCCAAACAGGAGTTTGTTTAACATGCTTTGTTGCATCATTCCAGATTATAAGTGACCTGGTTCTGATTAAAACCTCTTTGCTTTGGGCAGAGTTTCTGTTTTTGAAATTCACAAGATCTACAAGATTTTTTCCAACATAATTAATTCATGATTATCTGCACAGATATGAAACATACCGGGTAATGAAATCTTACACAATTATGTTCCATCTTTTTAAATGAAAGGTTAACCTTGTTTCAAGCAGGTGAGCTCAACACTGACAGTGCATCTTATATGTGTAGCATTTTTCAATAACCCAAAAATGCTTATATAATGGTTGTAATCCATCTTAATCCATAATAACATGCTATAATCTGTATCTGCCGTTTAGCATTAGCAATTTATTTGTATGTTACAGCTGATTATCTTCTTCTTTCCCATCAGCCTTTAGACTATGAGAGCAAGAGGCGCTTTGCCATCGCCATAGAGGCCATCAATGACCACGTGGACACCAGATTCCTGAGCTACAATGAATTCCGTGACAAGACAATGATTAAAATCCTGGTGACAGATGTGGATGAACCTCCAATCTTCTCCGTTCCTTTCTTTGAATGGAAGGTTCCAGAAAACGCACCTGTGGGTACGCAGGTTGGCACGGTCTACGCAAGAGATACAGATGCAGTCAACAATCCCATCAGGTAACCCAAACATGTATTAATATATGTGCTACTTATTTGTAAATGTGTGGAAAAAAAACAAGATCCTGCTCTGGTTACCACTCTGGGGTTCACGAACTCGCCCACACGTCAAATTCTCTGTTTCTATATCTGTGTCTGTATCTTTGTGATGATCCAGCTCAGAAATCCAGTTCAAACACTTCCTGAATCTGTAGAGTCGCCCTTTCCATTCCATCTTATCTCGAGATCATACGAGACTCACATCCAGAGTTATGAGCCTATGAAGAGGGGCTGAGATACACGTCATCTGCCTCTCACCGTGTGGAACTGGTGGATTTGTGTGTCCATCTACATTCTGTGTGAAACTGACCAATGGACACTCAGGAAATCACTAAGCACTGACCATCACGCCGGAAACCCTTCATTCTTCATTCACTCCACATCGGAGACTCATGTGAAACGGCGTGCAGAGAGTTTACAGCTGCTGAAGCTGCTGCAGCAGTTTTGGAAAGTAGTGATGAAGATAACGGAGCATTTAGATATGAAACATATGAGGATCATGTTATATGAAGAGCCTTTAAAGGAGGATTTAAGGAGAAATGAACAAATCAAGAGAGAATGACCTCAGAACACATTGACAAGATTAAAAAATGAATTTCACGCTTGACTGCACCACTGAATACACAAGCAAATGAAGGGTGTGTAATACTATTAGTGACCAAGCTTGTGATCAAACTCTAAATGTAACAGGACCAAATGTGAAGGTCTATATATCATACATTTCAAACTGAGCCTGATGTTTTTTTCTTTTGGATTTTTCGCCGATTTAGTCGTCTCCATTTCCACCTGCTAGTTAGGACTCCCCCACCCACACGATACTACCAACGCTAGGAGGGTGAATGCTAGCACAGGCTTCCTCTGAGACCTGTGAAGCGTCACCACATCTTTTTCGAAATGCCGCTAACGCAACGTCACTGGACAGCTGAACGTGCTCAGAAGAAAACCGCCGACCGCCAGATCTGTGACGTCAGCTAACAGGCGCCTGCGCTGACTAGCATCGCAGTGGGTGATGGGGGAGAAGGGGGGGCCATCCTGCCCCCCCAGAGAGAGAGAGAGAGGACGACTGTGTTCTCTTGGACTCCCGGTCATGGACGGCTGTAGCATCACCAGCGATCGAACTTGCGATCTCCTGATGACAGGCCCAACGGTGGCGCCACTCAGGAGCCCGAGCCTGATGTGTTTAAGCCTTTTACACAGGGTAAATGCATTTCTCTCTCTCACATAATCATTTTAGGGATGATGTTGGAAAATATGGAAGGATTACCCAAAAAAATGGGTGGAGAAATTGGAAATGTGGCTTGTTTTCCATGGAATTTTCTCTCCCTCTTAAAATCAGGCATAAACTCTCAGTAATGTCTCGAAAGCATGTTGTTTGGAGACTTTCCTTTGACAATGACAGCAGTGAATAGATTTGCATCTACTAGTTGATAAATGGGTGGGTAGACACTCACTGAGCAGTTTATTAGGAACACCTGTACACCCGCTCATTCAGGCCCTCACCTAATCAGCCAATCATCTTGCAGCTGTGTAGTGCATACAATCATGCAGAAATGGGCAGCAGCTTCAGCTAATTTTCACATCAACCATCAGAATGGGGATAAAATGTGATCTTGGCGTGTCGTTGGAGCCAGTTGTATGTTTCTATAACTGTATATCTCCTGGGATTTTCACACTCAGCATCTCTATAGTAACTCAGAATGGAGCAATAAAGAAAAAACATCCAGTGAGAGGCAGTTCTGTGGAAGGAAATGTCTTTGATGTGAGAGGTCAGCGGAGAATGGACAGAGTGGTTTGAGCTGACAGAAAGGCTACAGTAACTCAGAATACCACTCTATACAATTGTGTTGAGCAGAAAAGCATTTCAGAATGTGCAACATGTCCAATCTTGAGGCGGATGGGCTACAACAGCAGAAGATCACATCAGGTTCCCTTTCTCTCAGCCAAGAACAGAAAGCCGATGCTGCACAGGCTTCCCAAAACTGGACAGTTGAAGACTGAAAAACATAGCCTGCTCTGATGAATCTCAATCAGGCCCTCAGATGGTGGGGTCAGAATTTGGCACAACAACATGAATCCATGGACCCAACCTGTCTTGTGTCAGCAGGCCAGGCTGGTGGAGGTGGTGTAATGGGGTGGAGGATATTTTCTTGGCAAACTTTTGACCCAATTATTGCAATTATTGCTTATTATTATTCAATTATTGCTTGAATGCCACAGCCTGTTTGAGTGTTGTTGCTGACCATGTTCATCCCTTCCTGGCCAAAATTCACCATCTTCTAATGGCTACTACCAGCATGATAATGCACCATAAAGCAAAAGTCACATAAAACTGGTTTCATGAACACGACAGTGAGTTCAGTGTTCAGCCACGAGATCTGAATCCAATAGTCCCCCTTAGGAGGTTCGCAGCGATGAAAGTGCAGCTGAAAAATCTCTGCCTCCCAACTTTTAACAGACTTTTTCTTTCTGTAATGCAGTAAATGAATGAACCTTGACTTTGCCTGTCAGATTTGCTATGTTTATGCACAGTCATTACTGCAATTCTGTTTTCCTGCAGCTCTCAGCAGAATCAGGTTTAATGCATGTTTAAAAATAAGCCTTTTTATTATAGGAACACCTTCAGTCTTACTGACAGAATTGAGAATTACATGCAGTAAAAGCAGCATTTAAGGAAAGAGACAAAACAACTTGAAACAGTTGGCCAGCATGCAGTTTAGCTAGCAATTATGCAAGCCAGCACATTGGCTATTATAGCTAAAGTTGCCAGCTAATCTAAGCTAAAGTTTTAATAATTTGCAGATCACATTCCTGTAAAACGTAATAATGTTTCAGCTGGATTTGTTATTACTAGCTAGCTGGATTATGTGCTTTATAACCTACAGACTAACTAACCTTTTGCCTTTTTCCCTTAAACACTGCATTTACCGCATGTTCTGCTTCAGTTTGGTCTTTTAGACTGAAGATTTTTTCTAGAATAAAAGTCTTGTTTTTTGTAAACATGGCAAACCTGGCAGGGTTTTAGCTGGGATTTACTTTTGTACAATGCAGTGTCTGCAGCTAAAAATGAGACTAAACTAAATTCTCAGCTAAAGACTCAAGACTCGACTCCCTTTTTCCAGAAGGCCCGCTGTCGTTACCAGCAACAATCATTAACCGCTCATTTAGAGACCCTTGCCTAATAATTATTCACAATTAGGCTGTAGTCAAAACCACCTATGTCGAGTCCAAGTCAGGACCAAGACCATGACTAATTGAAACCGAGACAAGACTGAGGCAAGACCAAAACCCCAAAAATCCAGTCCTCTTCATGATGATACCTTACTTAGACTTTTTTTTCAGTACAATTTACAGGAAAAATGTAAAGGACGGATTTTTCTTTATGCAAAAATACAAAAAAATGTGAATCTAAAGTTTTTTGACGTTCAGTGTCCACTTTGAACGAATCCAATCAATGGCTTATATCAACTTTTTAAAAAATCTAGGCTACTTGTTGAAGGGTAACCTCAGACGAACACTTACAAGATCTCTAGAACCATATCAGGAGAACCGTGTGTAGCGGCAAAAATGGTTAAATGGATTTCAGAAAATACACAACATTATTTACATTACAATTAAATTACAGCACTGAGCTCAGCTCCGTTTGCCATTGAGAGGAACCGGAAGCTGTGAAAGCTCTGTTCCGGTTTGCTGTGGTCCAGTTTAGCACCCTGAGCTCTTTGATTGCAATCCAGCAAGTGTTTGTAACAGTTAAAAGCAATAAAATAATCTTTTACATTGTAATTGTAGACCGATGGCCAAGACCGAGACAAGTCCAGGTCCAAACAGTAGACAAAAAATGTCTAGAGAGTGGACTCGAGTACGACAGCCCTGTCCACGATATTAAGTTTCAAGTTTATTTGTCATTTGCACAACATGACTGGACATTCATGCATTGAAATGCTTGTGGTGGCTCAGATAATCACTCTACAGAAAGTAAAGAAGTAAAAATAAAAACACAAAGTACAAAAATACAAAATACTGAAACAGAAATATATTAAATATACACAAAATATACAAAAAAACCTTCTCTGCTACGTACAAATATATTTATATTTATTATATATTACAGTCGTTACTCTTGCTACCACAGAACTCACTTGAAAAATGATCCCCGTATTAGAATACATGTAAACAGACTGACTAAAAGAAAACAACAACAACGTCTGTTTGATACAGCACCTCCTGAAACAGGCCTCCAGCCAGCGCGTGTGATTTCGGGCAGATCACGTGTTTGTGTGTGCGTGAGACATTTCCAAACAGCTCCCTCCCTTCAAGAGGAAAGGAATCATTTTCTCCCTGGCTGAGTTTCCCACTCCCTGTGCTCCTCATCCTCTGCTCTTCATCCTAGCAGCTGCTTGCCACATGCTCATATTTATCGCATATTACTTTAGTAGGAAATGAGAGCTGCTGAATAAAACATAGGTCTCTCTTCCTGTCTCTATCACTCTCTCTCCTTCCCTCTACCTCATCTCTCTCTCCTGTTACAAAGCAGCCGGTGCTGGTTGTGCCAAAATAATAACTCTCAGTATGGGGTGGCATTTGGAATTCAGAACTGTGTACGTTTGTGGATTTGCAAGTGATGCACGCCTACAGAGAAAAGACAGCAGCTCCGTCACGGGCTCAGTGGAGGCAGCTGAAAGAACAATCGCGCTCTGCACAAGAGGTGCCGTTTTAACCATCCACCAAAGAGACGTTAATAAAGGAGTGAAAATTAAGCCTGCAGTCGGAAACTCTGGGTCATGTTTCGGAGGGTTTGACCGTGCAAGAGAGCCTCCACTGGAAAACAACAACAACAAAAAAAAACAACAACATTGCTTTAAATTGACTTTAATCAAATGTATAAGTGTTAAAATGTAATTATGTTTTTAACGTAGTTAAACAGGTTCAAGTAGAAAGAACATTCTTTTGAATGTTTTCTTTTC